AGGTTTGGAGCATTGGAACATTCGCACCGATGACATGGTTTAGAGCAGGCAAGCGAGATGAAAAAAGGCGTAGTGGTGGCTAGGTGTGGTGGCTAACTGGGAACGCGCCAACGCGCTGATGCGAAATAAATACTCTTCCCGGATACAGAATAAAATAAGTACTTCCGCTGTTTGTCTTTCCGGTCGTTTGAACACCAAGTCAGGTGACTGGGGTTCCGCCGAGGTCTAGGAGCGATTAGACTCGCACATAAAAGCTACAGACATAGAACTTGGATAACAAACCTACAAACGTGAAGCAGAGCCCTTTTCCACGATAAACGGAGACCAAAGCACAAGTACAACAAGTATACGAAGATCGTCGTCGCGTTTGCCTGAAAACGCGACGTAATCATCAACTCTAGTTTCCACAGCCATGTCGTCTGCGATCTTGAAGCGTCAGTGAAGGATTGCCAATGCGAGTGTCGTCTTGGCCTTGTTCGAGTGCCCCTGCTTATTCAAATCGTGTCAAGCCAATAGAAAACGAAGCACGTTGGCCGTGTGGGGGACGTGCAAGTGTACTATGCTGTTCAAGCGCAGCACCGGTCTAAAAATGTGGGCAGACTGCTCCTTGCAACAGCACATGCACCAGCTTCATTCCGTCCGATTGGCAAGCATCGAGGTTAGTGACATTGCACTCATGTTCACTCCCTAAGCCCCTCTCATTGATTTCTTACGATGGAGGTTATCCACGCTATTTTTGTGGCTACTTCCCGGTGTAAACAATGGTTGTAGTAATGGAGGCATCCGTCGTTTTGGCTGAAAGGGGTAAATCACATGCGACTCTGATCATCTCGGTTGCGCTCCCCCCGCTTGGGATTTTGTATTGCAGCAAGATAACGATACAGTCATGACTATCCAATGGCCTCTTTGACTGCTTTTTTGAAAGCTGCAGGTGGCGCTAACCCTAATGAACCGTGTCATGACGGCCCATAGGCGCTTATCATCCAACCAATACCGGCGATAGAAATACGCATAAATGCGCAATGTATGCGCGAGTTTGGGCTTGTTTTTGGCACAGAATGCCTATATATTCGCATAGAAATTATGCAAGGTCCATTGGTGGCTTGGGGGTTCGCGTTGACCTGGGATACCCGAAACACCATGTGTCCCCGCCCACCCCTGCCAGTGTAACCATCGGTTTGCCTGTCCAAATGGCGTCGTATCAGGCATCTCCTAGCTGAGATGCAAGCATTATAATCCAATTTCCGGGCATGGGGAGGGTGTGGGGCCGTAATGCTGGGTATATGCGCGCTCCCCCGTCTCGCCTCCTTACCGACATGCCTCCCGACCAAAATTTGAGCAATCCCGACGTAAAAAGAGTGCAAAAAGACTGCCACGAACCCGGCTTGAACGGGTGACCTGTAGATCTTCAGTCTAACGCTCTCCCAACTGAGCTACCGCGGCCTGCGGTAACTGGGAAAGATGCGGACCTGATAGCCGGAAGAATCACGTGGCCCAATGGAATGGGCATGTAATTGAGTCTCTCGCCACTTGTTGGCAGTGCATTCAGCTCGCCTTTACGCTGTATTTGATGGCCTCACGAGCCCCGAAAGTTGCTGCGGAGGAGGCGGAGAAATACTGGGGGTGGGGGCTATCTTATCACGATTAAGCCGCAGTATTGCTCGAATCTTATATCTTCGAATAAGCCTAGCACTACAGAGTCATAATGACGCCATTTAGCACCCATTCATCAGTTCAAAGCACCAATCCAGTCCACTGGAACGAATATGAGCTTGACGAGTTGGTTCGGGATAGGTCACGTGACTTGGCAGCTCTATGCGCAATACTTCTCCTGGTGGTTTAGTCACCCAAACCTCCAAGGTCATCACTTGAACACGACGCTGGATTCTGGGCTGATTATATCTATCGCCTTTTGCAGTACGGGACCCACCCACGCGAACAACGAGCTCTCAAACTGACTTACGTTCCGCCCACCGCATTCGGTGCGTTTTTAATGCAGATCTCCTACAGCTAATGAAGGGAATAGTAAAATTGGATGACCCCATCGTATCCAAGCTCGGCATCGGACGACATAGCTCATCGATTTCTGCTACATAAAATACACATAATAGGGTCCAAAGGTTCCACGGACCGGCTTGGCAGGATGTCTAGACTTTCGCCGCACTTCAGGGCTATGAAGTCACAAGTAGTCGAATCGAAAACAACGAGGCTAGATTTCATTCCGAAGCACTACACATGATCTATGATCAAACCTTGGTAGACAGAGGCGTGTATATGATACTTGAGAATCCAACAGTCATATATCTATATCAGGTGGAGAGCGCAAGCCGTCTTGCCCAGTAGAGTCGGATTCAAGCCTGTCTGGGTACCAAGTGAATTGTCATTCTGGCCCTTGTGAAAAGCTTTGATTTAGCAAAATTCACCAACCAGTACTCACTTGGCCCGAGAATCAGTACTTTGAAGGTCCAGCTACATCCGTGTCTACAAAGGACGTGTATCTTGCACACAAGGTTGTTGTGCTCTAGGCTGTGACTCATCGTCACGACCAAGGGGCACAACCTGCTGCGGTTCAACGAGATCTATCTCCGAGTTTTCGGTCTAGATCTACTTACGCACGACTTTCCAAGGGTTCTAATCGGGTACCTTAATACGGAGATCGCAACAACGCCCGGACGACCG